GAGTCTCCTGCCTCAGCCTCCCAAGTAGCTGGGACCACAGGCGCCTGCCACAACACCCGGCTATTTTTTGGTTGCAGCCGTCATTGTTGTTTGGCAGGCCTGCGCTGGATTCGAACCTGCCACCTTAGGTGTATGTGGATGGTGCCTTAGCCACTTGAGCCACAGGTGCTGAGCCAAAAACCATGGGTTTTTATCAGGAGAAACTGAAGTTTGGCTGGCCAAATTCTGGTGTCTGTATGGTATACCTAGAATTGTAGGTTGGGACAAGAACACTAGATACCTTGAACGTCTCCTATGGAGTGTAAGTTACTCCAACAGATATTTGGCATTTTGTGTGTGTGTGTGTTACCAAGCAATACCACAATAAGGCTTTCAACAGAATTTTGACTTCTCTAATTCAGAAAAGGCTTGAGCACATTGGAAGGAAATTGAATCAGCTCTGCCACTTGTTAACTGAATGCTTAGGCAAATTGCTCGGTTTCTTTAAGCTCAAGTTCCTTCATCTGTGAAATACCTGCCTTTCCTGCCTCACAGGCTTATTGTGAGATCCAAGTTGGATAGCATGGAGCACAGAGAAAACTTAAATTCCTAATAATACATAAGGTGGTATTAACATGACATTAATTTTATTCAACATTAATAGACCCTAAAAATGAAAAAATATAAATACCCAAGAACAACTTATTCTAAGTTAATACGAATAAGTTTGGTAAGTATAGTGTTCATTTAAATGTCCACCTACAGAAGCTTTTTGTTGAAAGTGGCCTAATACAGTAATGTACTGGGGATGCCAAAAAATGTATACACACTTTAAGCAATGTTATCTATGTATTACTTTTCAAAGTTTAATTGGATTGCAGTAGTAATGTGTAGTGTGATGTTCACTCAAAAGATGGCATTAATCAAATGAATACTAATATCATCATGAGACAGCTGGACAATCAAACTGGTGGAAGCACGATTGTCTCTCGAGGAACTCAAGATCATTTTGAGGTGATATTTGAGATTTGAGAATGTCTGTGGAAGTTCAGCGACAATGGAGGTGTGAGTACGCAGCAGAACCTCCGACACACCTAACAATTGCATACATCCATGATACGTTTGAGATGTAGGGTGCTGTGTGTGATGTGCACAGGGAAGATCCAGGAGGCCTCGCCCAGCAATGAGTCCTCCTACTGTGGTGTTAGAACAGTTTACACACTCGCCACAGAAGTCTGCCAAACAATGTGTACCTGAGACAGGAGTTAGCAGCATCAGCAAACCATGAGTTCTTAAAACAGCAAAATGGAAAGTTTTCATCCCAAGATTGTTACGTGCACCAAGAGACATGAGAGCTCACCTCAGAATTTACCAGGACAATGGATAGGAGAAAGAGGTGCGATCGAGTTTTGCCCACATTCTTACTTTCTACCTATAGGGGATCTTAAAGGATGTGGTGTACTGTAGAAAATGGCCTACACTGGTGGTACTTTGGGAAGAAATTTAAGCAGCACGCACAGTGATACAGGTGAACACTTTGGTCATCAGTGCTTAAGCAGTAGTTCTCTGTAATCAAAAGAGTCTGGATACTGGCGCCTGTGGCTCAAAGGAGTAGGGCGCTGGCCCCATATGCCAGAGGTGGTGGGTTCAAACCCAGACCCAGCCAAAAACTGTAAAAAAAAGTCTGGATACTGCTGGTGACCATATTGAGCACCTCTTGTAATTGCAGAAGTCAAATGTAAGACTTATGTTCATCTTTTGTTATCAGCATATATTGAGTGTTAGAATTTCAATAGTTTGTGTTTTTTGTTTTTTGTTTTTGAGGTAGAGTCTCCTTTTGTTGCCCTCAGTAGAGTGCTGTGGCATCATAGTTCACGCAACCTTAAACTCTTGGGCTCAAGTGATCCTCTTGCTTCAGTCTCCCAAGTAGCCAGAACTATAGGCACCTGCCACAATGCCCAGCTATTTTTAAAGACTGGGTCTAATTCTTGCTGAAGCTGATCTTGAACTCCTAAGCTCAAGCAGTTCACCACCTCAGCCTCCCAGAGTGCTAGGATTACAGGCATGAGCCACTGTGCCTGGCCCAGTTTCTTCATTTCTTAAAATACATGTACATTTTTTGGTACCCTCTGAACATCTCAGCTTCATTTCCTGACTTGTCCTTCCCTGTTTGTTTATATTCTGACATGATTATGCCAGTAGTTCAAAAAGCTATTCCAAAAGATGATATTTTTTCCCCTTCAGAATCAAAAGCCTACCTCGGAAGAGATCACAATGATTGCTGATCAGCTCAACATGGAAAAGGAGGTGATTCGTGTTTGGTTTTGTAACCGCCGCCAGAAGGAAAAAAGAATCAACCCACCGAGCAGTGGTGGGACCAGCAGCTCCCCTATCAAAGCAATTTTCCCCAGCCCAACTTCACTGGTAAGAATAAAAATACAGGAGCACAAACCCTACAGCTAGTTTTTACAGTTTTACAAATGATCTGTTAAGTCACTTTATTTTGTAACCGTTATGAATTTACTATGTATGTATTCACACTAGATAAATGTATATAAAATTATATTTTAGTTGTTACTAAGCTAATGGAATCTCATTTTGTTGACCCAAGAGCTTTCTGGTCTTTCTTGTTTTTAAAGAGAACAATTTTATTTCTTTTCAATTTCATTGCATTTCCATTATACACTTCTCTGATGTGGTTTATTAGGTCACTTTGTAACCATGGGAGTAAATTTGCTTCTGATTCCAGTTATCTCAAAAAATATTTAGTTACTTTTTATTCATGTTGAGGCCCCAAACCCAGTTTATTAAACTTACACTTATCTAATTAAGTGACAGTACATTCCCAAGTAACATTTAGCTCTGAACTTTTGTTAAGACAGTCATCTCTGTCAGGATCTTCACTCTGAAACATCATGTGGTCCTTTCATATATAATCTCTATGAGTGACTTCTACTGTTTGTGGGGTGTTTTTTTGTTTTGTTTCGAGTTTTTTTTTTTTTTTTTTGAGACAGTCTCAAGTTGTCACCCTGGGTAGAGTATTGTGCCATCATAGCTCACAGCAACCTCCAACTCTTGGCCTCAAGTGATCCTCTTGCCTCTAGTTTTTCTACTTTAAGTAGAGATGGGGTCTCGCTCTTGGTCAGGCTGGTCTCCAACTCATGAGCTCAAGCTATCCACCCGCCTCCGCCTCCCAGAGTGCTGGGATTATAGGCATTAGCCATCGCACCTGGCCTGCTTCTACTGTTGTGATAGAATGTTCTTTTTGGAGTGAAAGGGCATACAGTGGCAGTGTGACTCCTTTAATCTTTATGATTGCCAACCAGAATCCAAAAGGGAAGGTTGTTGAGTTTGCATTTCTGTTCCTTTTTTGTTAATTTATTTTACTTTATTTGAATATTATTCATACTGGAAGGCTTTTACAACTAAAGTTACCGTTACATGCACATTAATAGTTTAAGTGATGTTTGTGGTTGTTAAATGGTGGGTCTTTAATGATAAAGTTCATAAGATATTTATGGAAAAGATGGCTACTAAATAACAGTTTTATATAGATGACTTTTACGTTCTAGATTTATTTGGACCTCGATGGAAGACTCTTGCAAAACTGGAAATTTTTGTTATTTCAAAACACAACTTATTTTTTATTTTATTTATTTATTTTTTTGAGACAGAATCTCACTATGTCAACCCTAGGTAGAGTACCTTGGCATCACAGCTCACAGCAACCTCAAACTCCTGGGCTCAAGTGATTCTCTTGGCTCAGCCTCCAGAATAGCTGGGACTACAGGCGTCTGCCACAATGCCCAGCTATTTTTTTGTTGTAGTTGTCATTGTTGTTTGGTAGGCCCCGGCCGGGTCTGAACCCACCAACTCTGGTATATGTGGCTGGCACCCTACCTGCAGAGCTACAGGCAACTTAGTTTTTAAAAAACGTGCTTTATGTTCTTTTCATAGTTTCACTTCTTTAAAAACAAACACAAGGCAATTCTGCCTCCACAGAGTGAAAAATAAAAATAACACATGAATTCCAAATTCCCTGATACTGCCAAATAGTTTTTGTATTTAGGTAAATTTGATAATTCATACACAAGTACTATCCAGAAAGTATCCAGCCATGTATGTCTCTATTTTTTGTATTATGAGACTGGGTACTTTCTGGACAGCCCTCTTACTGGTTTAGAGTATATCTGACTCAACAGTATTGAAATTTAGGAATTTTTAATAAGTTCACAGTATGGGTTTAATTGGGTTTAAACTTTTACGTTTTCTTTTTTAGAGCTTTGTCCTTATTTTCATTTCTGACCTCTAGGTGGCGACCACACCAAGCCTTGTGACAAGCAGCACAGCAACCACCCTCACCGTCAGCCCTGTCCTCCCTCTGACCAGTGCTGCAGTGACTAATCTCCCAGTTACAGGTAAGCAGCAGCAAGGCGACACCGTTGCCAAGTACATAAGAGGCCCGTGATAGGTTTCTGTGAAAATCTGACATTAAATTGTGAGTTAAGGTTTTCAGGAGTGTCCAACATTTTGGCTTCTATGAGCCACATTGGAAAACACTGACGAAGGCTAATGGGCAAAAAAAAATGGTCCATGCATAATTTTCGTGATACCACCACAGATAAGCAAAAACCTCATATAATCCACACAGGTTGGGCACCACATATGGATTATTTTTTTTTTAAAAAAAGTTACATGTGAAAACCTGAACTTTAAAAAAAAAAGATTTGGCATAATTGATTTTGTCAGAAAAGAATACTTTTCCTTAAGGATTGTCTTAACCTGTTTTGTTCTTTCCCACATTAGTTTATCTTCTATATTGCTCCCAGAGTTATCTTTCAAAAATATCACTTTTTCCTTCAAGTAACCCATTTCCTTAAAAACCTTAAATAGCTGTTGCTTATGGCATTCAGACAGACATCCAGGTTCATCAGTTCATAGGTTATTTCTGGTCTGGACCTGATATTCCACTAGTCTTGCCTACCACACCCTGGCCACACAGAAGGGCTTCATCTTTTTGTAAATATCCCTATACCCTGAAGTGTTGTCTAGCCTGCAGTTCTTGACTGATATTAATAAAACCATTCCAGCTTACATGTCAGTTTTTCTTAGAAATATTTGTTACCTTCCCCAGCAAACTATTTATTTCTACCTACCTATATTATAAATAATTATATTTTTACACATTTGTCTTTCCAAGTAGTCTCTGCATTTCTCAAGAGTTGACACTTGTTGCCCAGCTCGGTGCCTGCACACTCACTATAAAATGAATAAGTATGTGTTTTTCCTTTGGCCTCTTTTAAATAGTAAACTTACCAAATATGTTTAAAATGACTTAGTATTGTCATTAGGCTTACCTAGTGCCTAAGACATACGTTTATGATATTTCATAATCAAGCTTGATTTAACCTAGAGTTGGGGACTTTGATTTTCCTTACTTGCATTTTAAGTCCATAACATCTCTTCTGCTCTGTGACCTAACCGTGATGTACAAATTGAATAAATGGCTTTATATTGTGTTACATTTCTAAGTATTAGATAATCTTATAATTTTTATTTTAAACAATACTTCTTTGATGTCTTTTGGGTTGTTGGACCTCTTTGAGAATTTGAAAGCTATAGACTTTTCTTCCCACAAAATAGACATAGTCATGATTTTTAGTAAAATGTATGGAGGTTTTTAAATGACAAGCCCCATCATTCCTCCCACTGCCCCAAAGCTGTGTATGGATTCCTCAGAGCCTGCAGATTCCAATTGTCAGACCTCTGTTGAGAGCATACATAGTATTCAGCATTTTAGCCTACTAAGCAAACTGTCAGTGATTGACTAGCATTGTGCTGGGTACGAGGGACCTGAAGTTGCTCCCTCTGAGGAGCTAATCTCCAAACCAAGTTCTAGTCATCTGGTAAATTATGAGCTGAACTCTACCTTCCCAACAAATTATAAGTCATATTATGTTAGGTCTAAAGCTACCCCCATTTTACAGAAAAATTCCTAATAATTGAGACTTTAAAATAAGTAGCTTTGCAGATTTTCTAAAATGGGAAAATCAAATAGAAGCTAATTTTAAGGAGATATGCATACTCAAAACTAGCTAAAAATCTGTGTCAGTTTTTGATGAGTCTGACAATCACATTCTCTTGCACACAGTTACTCAACCCGTTATGGATTTAATTATGACTGTTTCCTGAAATCTTGGTAATTCTTCTTGGAATGAAGTAGTTCTTTAATTATTAAGAAATTTAACCTTATAGGTAATTCAAACAAGAAAAATACAATCATGCCTACAATTTTTATATTCTCTTTAAAATTTATTATCTGTACATGTATACACAATTTCTGTTATATAGTAATACAATACAGTATTTGATTGCAGCCTTGGGACACCCTAAGCAGAGAACCCCATTAGGCTGTGCCAGACTCACAAAAACAATGAGGTGATAAAATTGTGTTGTTCTAAGCTGCTGAATTTGTGGTACTTTGTTACTCAGCAATAAAAAATGAATGCAGTAATATTATGTTTGTACTACCTATAAATATTGTACAGGGCCAGCTCATGTGATTGAATCTATAGTAGAAAAACTATAATCTTACAGCACTTAAACATTGCTGCTTGAAAGAGAAGATTACAAGACTCAATATCAAGTAATCTTTTCTTTTCTTATCAGCAGTTGTTCAAAATCTTAACCCATTTTAATTTTTTTTCCATCTTGGACCATAATTTCCTTAGACGGCCTCTTCAGACATTTCTATACTGCCTGCCTTTCTTTTTCTCTGTTGACAGAGGTAGCATATTTCTTTAACACAGTGTTTATTAAAGGCATTCAGTGTCTTAATGGTACAACTTATCTAGTGGAATCTATTTTCTTCTTGAAAACTTTCTTGGGATTTCTATAATTGCTTATTTTAATTTCATTGTATTAGTAAGTTAGATTAATATTTCTTAGATTCCATGTCTTCTTCTCTCCTTGATTCCTTTTTGTTTGTGTAGAACATGTTCTCAAATAATTTTTTTTCTTTATTTGGAAAGGCTCTATGGAGGGCAAATTTTCTTTTTTCTTTTTTTGAGACAGTCTGACTATGTTGCCTTCGGTAGACTGCCGTGGCATCACAACTCACAGCAACCTCAAACTCTTGGGCTTAAGTGATTCTCTTGCCTCAGCCTAGCTGGGACTACAAGTGCCCTGGCTATTTTTGTTATTGTTGTTGTAGTTGTCATTGTTGTTTAGCAGGCCCAGGCTGGGTTTGAACCCGCCAGCCCCAGTGTATGTGGCTGGTGCCCTAACCACTGAGCTACAGGCGCCAAGCCAGGGGTAAATTTTCTAAATACTAGTTTTTTCAGTAATAGAATTGTAGATGCAAAATTATTTTTCCTTTGTACTTTGAAAGTATTGTTTTTGTGTTTTTGCATCTAGTATTGCTAATGAATAGTCTGATTTCAACCTGTCTTTTCTTGATAGCTTTTTTTTTCTCAGTAAACTTTAAGAATCTTTTTATCCTTAGTGTTCTGAAAATTCACTAGGAAGTTTCAAGGAACAGGCCTTTTAAAAATTTGTCCTCCATAACGAACACTGGAGACTGTGCAAGTGAGGTATGGGATTAAAAATTACCTGTTGGTCACTATTCAGGTGACAAGTACACTAAAATTGTAGACTTTTCCATTCTACAATTCATCCATGTAAGAAAAAAAAAATTTGTACCCCAAATATATTTTTTAAAAAATAAAATGTTAAGCATTAAAAAATTGTCTTTATTGTTCTTCAGAGAGTATTTTCTATCTGAATTAATGTCTTTCTTTATCTTAGCTGCTTTTTCTAGTATTAGCTCTGTTTATTCATTTTATGCCATTTATTTTGTGCTGTCGGGTTTTTTTCATTGTCTGGTGAATTTATTTATACTGATGAATGCAAGACTGTATTACTTCATCTCGGTAGATTGCGAGTGATTTCTTTGCCATTGTGCAGCTTCTGTAACTCAGCAGTCCTCTCCTCTGAATGGGGGCCTGGCAGTGAGCAATGAATGTGGATAGAGAACTGCTGAACTTCATTGCAGTTTTCGAGTAGGAAGGAAGCAAGCAAGGCTGTGCCCTCACACATTCTCCAAAGGAGGGGGATCTTTACTCATGCATATCAGATGCATGCCATGCCAGAATTCTTAGCCTTCTACAGTTAGACTTTTAATTTTCCTGAAAAATAGTAGGTGACATTAATTCTAAGAAAATGAAAGGCCCACTAGCAGGGTTACTATGTAAACAGACTTGTAATCACCTTATTCTTGATTCTGTGTCCTATACCTATCTCAGTATCTGACAACTCTGAGCTGTCAGGGTTCCATTAGAGTGAAAATTTCCACCTCTGTTACCTCTGTCCTTCTGGACTGTAGTTAGTTTCTATACCACCTAATTTCATCTTTTTCTCATTTCTATAAATTTGTATAATTCTTAATCCCTTTGGTTATCCCTTTTTGTATTTCTTTACTATCATTTGCAATAGGATTTTGGAAACAAAGAGAAAAACCATGTCCTCAGAATGTTATCTTTTTTTTTT